ACTAGCGTCATTGACAAAACAGCACATGTCCCAGATGCGACCTTGCCAATAAGTGAGTGCTCTACAGCACAGAAGAACACCCACCATATTACAGACACCCAGGTCGCCCCCACGATACTGGATGAGCCCTCCAGTGACAGTAATGGAAAGACTGCCGTGAAGAAGAGGCGTACTAGGGGTCGAAAACCTGCAGCTCCAGTCGCCCAGGGACTGGCGGAACAAGCCTCATCCACACCGGTGAGCAGCAGACAGACGAACCCCACTAAGATTAGCGAGGAGGACGCCAATGAATGGCGCACCGTAGTCTCTCGCAAAAAGCGAGATAAGGATAACACTTCGGCCACACCGCCCAAGAAGGATAGAAACACACTTACGCCTCAGGGCAAGAAAGTCACGGAAAGCAAACCCGATCTCTCTGATAGGTCTCTCATTCTCCACAAAGTGGAGGAGTCACTGGCTCTCGACCCTAAGACCAGATTCGAGCATGACCTTAACTTGGTCAAGCCCCTTTTAGACAAGCTACTGCCACAAACAGTATCAGGCATTACTATACACAGCGTATACAGAATAGGTCAAAAGCCTGACCCTACAGTAAGTGAACCTGTACGTCTCCTCAAAGTCGTACTAAACTCTAAAGCGGAGAGGGACGCTATTCTAAGCAACTCTCATATTCTCAAAGGATCAGGGATATATGTCCGCGCTGACTTAAGCCTGGCAGACCGTGTCAAAAGACAGGCTGCGGCACTAGAATTAAGTGAGCGACGCCGGAACGGTGAGAAGAACCTTAAGATTAAGGGTTTTCGGGTTGTCCGAGTTCGCAGTTTAATGATCCCGAAACCTCTGTGGGTGGGCCGGGGAAGCACCAATCTGAATTAACAGTCTGCTACACAAACGCCCGCAGCCTGTTAAATAAAAGGACTGAGCTGGCAAACATGATAGAAACCGGAAACCCGGATGTAATTATTATCACAGAGACATGGCTCACACCCGATGTCACTGACAACGAAGTTAACCTGCCAAACTTCGAAGTGCACAGGGTAGACCGACTAAACCGCAAAGGAGGGGGCGTAGTCATCTACCTCAAGAAAGGCTTAACCGTGCGTAGTATCGAAGCACTCGCCCACGAAAGTGAGTCGTGCGAACTTCTACGCTGCAGACTTAAATGCATAGGCCAAGACATTGACCTCATTGCTGTGTACCGCAGTCCTGACTGCAGTGCAGACGACTTCCTAATAGAGAAGCTAGGCTCCTGGACTTCAAAATGTCGAAGTCTCGTAGTCGGTGACTTCAACGCCCCAACAGTTGACTGGTCGAGCCTAACAACTCCATCTTCAGTCAACTCCTTTGACCATAAACTGCTAGAATCTAGTATATCGCTAGCCCTAGTCCAACATATCATTAAGCCCACGCGCTATGACTCACAGCACTCCTCATCAACTCTGGACCTAGTGTTCTCACACGGTGAGGATGTGGATCTCATACAACATCTTCCTCCGTTAGGAAGAAGTGACCATGCTGTGCTCACTTTCAAGTTCACAGCAACGGCAGCAAGGGCCAAAACCCCAGCTCGACCAAACGTTTGGAAAGCTGACATAAATGCGATCGTCTCAGCAGCCAACTCAGTAAACTGGTACATCAATCCAGAGTCCCAAGTAGAAGCCGCATGGAACCAATTTAAGCAACTTTACGCCCAAGTAACTGTACCCTTCATCCCTTGGTCTGTTCCAAAGGGTCGGAAACATTCCCCCCCTTGGATAAACCGGGAGATTCGTAAGTTACTCAGACGTAAACGCAAATGTTGGAACCTGTTTGCAACACTTGAGACTTCTGAGACCAGGGAATTATATACTACTGCTAGAAATAAAGCTATCGCAGAAATCCGCCAATCAAGGATGAAGTTCGAGACACACCTGGCCCAAAATGCAAAGGCACAACCTAAGAAAATTTTCTCGTACTTGAATTTCAGGAATAAAACACCCAATGGTGTCCCAAACCTGATTATTGACAAAGATACAATCGAAGAAGATCAAGAAAAAGCAGAAGCAATGGCAAACTACTTCTCCCAAGTCTTCACTCAGGAGTCATCACTGCCTATAGGATCAGCTCTGGCTGCATCAGAAGAACATGGGATAGATTCCGTTGACATCGACCAAGGCATCGTGCTCAACTTCTTAATGAAACTAGATGCAGGAAAATCAATGGGTCCTGACAGTCTTCATCCAAGGCTTCTCAAGGAGCTATCAGCCCACATAGCCGGCCCCTTGACCACGATCTTCAAGCTATCTCTCCAAAATGGAGTGTTGCCACGTGATTGGAAAGACGCCATAGTAACCCCATACACAAAGGAGGATCAAGACAAAGCCCTTCAAATTACAGGCCTATCAGTCTCACCAGCACTTTAATCAAGACACTGGAAAGAATTATCAAGAAAAGCATCATGGCTTATCTGGAAAATAGCAGCTTGTTATCTGGAGCACAGCATGGCTTCCGGAGGAACCTCTCATGCCTGTCAAATCTCCTGACTGCAAGAGAAAGCTGGGTCAAATCAAAGGATAACAGAAGACCCGTTGACGTCGTCTTCATAGACTTCAGTAAAGCCTTTGATAAAGTACCTCACAAAAGACTACTCATGAAATTGGAAAGTCTTGGTATCAAAGGCAGACTACTAGACTGGCTCAGGGAATTCCTCATAGATAGGAGGCAGAGGGTTAGGATCAACTCAAAACTCTCCTCCTGGACAGCAGTAAGTAGCGGAGTGCCACAAGGCACGGTTCTCGGTCCTCTCCTTTTTATTCTGTATATCAATGAGTTACCTCTGCTCACCGACTCCCCTATGGTCCTATACGCAGATGACTTAAAAATTTGGAGGGAGCTGAAGGGCAACAGTGATACGTCCACCTTGCAAGACGACCTCAACAAACTGTCGGAGTGGTCTGTTGAATGGATGCTCCCGATCAACGTGGCAAAATGTGCAACCATGCGCATTGGACAAGCAAGCACGAGCTCCTACGAACTAGAGGGAATAACACTTCCATCAGTTCAGACTCACTTGGACTTAGGTGTCATAGTTAGCCACGACTTAAAAACTACAGCACACTGTCGCGCGGTGGCTGCACGTAGTTTCAGGTCCTTATGGGCGATTCGCAGAGCCTTTACAAGAATTACCAGAGATATGTTCACCTCCTTATACACATCTCTGGTTAGGTCAAGACTGGAAAACTGCATCCAGGCCGCCAGTCCGTGTCTAAAAGGGGATTCACACATTCTAGAAAGTGTTCAAAGGAAGGCAACACGTATGGTTCACGGCATAGCTAACTTATCATATGAGGAAAGACTAGATAGTTTAAATCTCTTCTCACTGTCATACCGTAGGCAGAGAGGAGATTTAATCACAATGTTTAAAATTTTAAATAATGACTACGGACCTGACCTATTCTCTCTTTTCCTTCCCACCAGGTCGGAACACCTTAGAGGACATAGCAGGAAAGTTCAAAAGCCAAGGAGAAATCATATTGCTGTTGAGTACTGGTTCTCACATCGAGTCATAAACTCTTGGAACCGACTCCCAGAAGAAGTGGTGTCTGCAACCTCAATTGATTCGTTCAAGAAGGGTTTGGACAACCACAGAAATCTACTAGAAAAGGATTAACATAGGCTGCAAGCCTTCTATCCTCAACCAATAAATCTGAATCTGAAATCTATTGACATGTGTGAAAACTATATTTGGAAAATCTCATCGAGCTTGGAATGATTAATTCCGTGTCGCCGAGACTTTAGAAACATAATTTTTACATATATCTGCTTCTCACTCGGCGTCCAATTATTTTCGAACTTTTCAGTCGAATCTTGATCACAGTGCATAAGAATTGCTGAATATTCGTTTCGGAACCTTGCATCTGCAATCGGCTGTGTAGCTAGAGCAGTTTTGCTTATAAAGTTCTATAACGTGGAGAGGGAGCTGGGTTCATATCTGGCTGTATCCTCATTTTATATAAAGACACTTGTAATTTACACGCAAAGTTTTCCACTTCTTTTCTTTAGCATTAATAAGTGAGAGTTACACGGAATGGTTCGTACACATGTTTTTGTGATGCTGCGGGTGTTTGTGGAAATCGAGTTAAATATCTCGGATTATGTCCTCATATGATTTTTCCTCAGAGTTCCTTTTCCTGTTAATTCCTGGAAAGATATTACGTCTAGCCTTCTAAGCAATACCTCGGTATTGTGAATAGCACTTATGACTTAGCGATTTGGAGACGAACGTAGTTACCATATCATACCAAGCCTAAGTTGATATTAGGTTTAAAAGGTGTGAGAATGTATTATTACCTATCCCAATCTGTTTCAGGCAGCTTGCGAAGGATCTCTAATTAGACAGCTGAAAGCAGAATGGTCTTCTGTATATATTAGTTTCTGGGATCCACTGCTCATTTGCTGCAGGTAGCGTTAAAACTACAGGCAAATCACTTGTATAGGACGGAATCTGCATTCCACGTTTCAAGGTATTTTTCAGTAATTAATATTTTGTGATTTTTGATTACAACTTGATTCCACACTGTAGTTTTGGTAGAAGCATGGAATTTTCGGCATGGATATTGGTAGCCCAAATTGTGCAGGCTAACCATAGATATCAGGCGTGCGTCGGCAGGGGATCGAACCTCGGACCATGTGCATTGTCGGCGAGAGTCCTAACTACTGTGCCACCGACGTACATTTCCCCATAGGTCATATAAAAAGCCTGACAGTTTCTGTCACCAATGACTTTTTGTCCTGGACACCTTCAAACGGTCACATTGCTGGGGGCAGCTACTGCCAATACAAGGAAATCATTTTGTGGGCATATTATACTACTCCTAAAATAAAGGAATTTTCCATTTTTCACAACTGCTTTGAGATAAGCAGTCAGCTGGACCTGAGCATCAGAAAAATAAGAATGTTCCTCGACAAAAGTGATTAGGCTAAGAGTAGTCCATTAGATCTGTATATTTTCAATAGTCATTGGACATTTAGCTTCTAATATCTAATTTACGCCTCAAAGTTCGTGCTTGGAAAGCTACGCTTCAAGGTCACCTATTGTCAGGAAATGAACGCCGGACGATTGCGTTTGGCCGTCAATGGGTTTCGTCGAGCATTTTCTTTCAGTTACTATCCAAAATCAATTGGACTTCATTCTGTTTCATACAAGAATTTAGGTAGACAACAGGCAACCTTCCGGTACAATATACCCTGCAGATATTATGGACATGATGTACCAATAACGAAGCCAATGATTGAAGACCGAGTAATGCTTGTGCTAAGACTTTATGACAAAGTTGATCCCAATAAGGTAGTTCCAAATTCTACAGTCATCAAATTTTCAGCTCACAATGGACTCTAGATTCCGTGAAGACTTCGGAATAGATAGCTTAGATCATGTAGAACTAGTTATGGCGATGGAGGAGGAATTCTGTAAGGTGTCCTAGATATTCATATATCTTTAGGCTTTGAAATACCTGATATTGATGCTCAAAGATTTCTCACACCACGGGATATTATACAGTACGTGTGCGACAAACATGATATATAGTTATAGCTGCTAGGAACTGTTAAAACCATTATTTAGTATGTAATTCCCAAATAAACTCGTGTACATGAATATTTTGTTCTCGTCTGTTGTATTAGTACTTAAATTTACCTGAAGCTTCTTACTTAGGTGATTGATGAGTGAGAAGATGGGCTCACAGTCTGAAGATGAAGAGGAATCACAAGATGCCTTGCCTTTCGATATTGATCAAGTACGTTCCTTAATGTTATATTCGAACATTCGAAATTACGGTTAAAGTATGATTAAAAGACCATTTTTGTTCTGCCTAACTTTACAGTAGGATTGTGTGCGCTAAGTGTGTTAAGGTACAGTATAAACACATCCTGTGTTTCAAAGTTTGTGTAGCTTTGAAAGCTGTGATTGTGACAACTTTTAGATTAACCACTAGGTCCTATGTTTCTCGAATTACTCTACCGGGAATCTTGTAAAATGAAGTCATCCTTCTAATTATTATTAATAATGATTTCTCCAAATTCCTATTTAAAGGATACCGAGAATACTGTCCTTCTTCTTGATTTTATACTTTCGAGACATCTTAACGTCGCAAATGGTATTCCTGTGTGAGGCTAATTTAGCTAGTTGCACATGTTCAGTTATTGTTTTGGCATAGATTACCATTCTTAGTGTTTGTTGGTCACATAAATTAAAAGTCTCCACTCGTGATAATTTCACCATATCCCATCCCCTATTTCCCTTTATGTCAGAAACTTTTTTACCCGTAATATCTAAAATATAATTCTATAACGTTTCCAATTAGTAATAGATGCTAACAGAAATGTGAAATAAAAGTGGATTTATTAATGAACAAACAACAACAGGGTTAAAAAATATTCTTCTCGATTAACTAATTCGTCAGGATTTTCTCGGAAATACTCTTCTTTCCAAAAGATATAGATAGGTATAGATTAGTTTTTGTATTTAATTATACGTGCATAAAGCCCAATAAATTTACTTCGTAGACTTGTGACCTGAAAGACACTGGTATCAAAATATGTTTGTTACCCGATGAAATAGGTGTATTTAGCAAATGACGTTGAACGCACCAATCACGTGAAAGGGGTATTTTTGTGTATGGAATACATATATTTATGAAATAATGCATGAAACCTATGGAAAAGTGTTAGAGAGGATACCTTCTTCTCACATGTGATAAAAATAACTCTCAATTTTAGGTTGAAGTATCAACGGAGTATAATCCCATTGTGTGTAAAATTTATTTTGATAAAGTCTCACAGTGCAATACAGTAATAATTCCTCAGCAATAAATTGTGCTCGAAACGTCATCGGTAAATATTACTCTATAACACTGTGACACTTTATACAATGGAATCATACTCCACCACAGTGTACAAGTTCTATTCTTATATCAACACAGTAATTTAACCACATTCTATACATGTAATTATTTAGGTCTTCTAACCCTAACAATAACCCTAATCTTTCCTAAACCTAGCTCTAACGTGAAAATGTGCCTAAACTAACCATAATCTAACTTGAACTAACCCTAATGTTGCCTTTAATAGGTTAACCCAACCCTAACTTGTCATTGGCTGAAAACGTAACTTAATCTTCCCCAAACCTGAGCTGAAACTTGCCAGATATCCCATTTAATAACACAACACTTCGATGAGGATATTTTAATGATGACGACAACATTATTTTCCCGGTTTCACTAACTTCCTCGATGCACGTTTCAAGATCATTGGTGTGACCGCACTCCACTGGTAGTTAGTGGTGCTTAAAGTCTAACTTGGCCGCTGTTTGCAGGAGTTAAGATGATTCATGACGAATTTCACTAACATTTTTAAGTTTCACGCAATAGGTAGGCATTGAAGAGAATAACGCCAATAATAAATTGTCCAATCAGATATCTTTTTCAATTGGAAAATCAAGTTTCTTACGTAAAAAGTAAAATTAAGTGTTTGAAAATCAGTAGGACATAGGGAAACCAAGAATTATCAGAAGAAATGTGAGAATCAAGATGAGGTGCGTCCAGTGAACTCGTTAACATCTCAAAGCGAAGTTAACTTCTGGGAAGAACAAGTTTGTAGTAATTCAGAGAAAATCAATATCCAGTGTCGATTAGAAAGCGACTAGGTTGAGAATTATCTGAGAAGATTGTATACTGGTACCTCAAAAACGTAATTGATAAGTTTCGTATTAGTTGGGTGAAAAATAGTAGCATAAAGTGTGTAATAGTATCTTGTGATGTATTGTCTTCCTATCAAAGCAGGTATAAAAAAATAGTTGCTTTAAAATGCTTGGTACCTTTTTGTAGACATCAACGCATTGTATGCAGCACCCTAGAAACTCAGGTTTGCTGGCGAATTTGTTTCCACCGAATATACATCCGGTGATGAAATTTTGGCCACAAGTAGACCAATCAGTTTTCAAGTATTGGTTTTGTAGAGATTTTGTTTGATTATTTGGAGGATTTCAACATGAGCTGACATCAGTTAGAGAACCAGTGGCTTAGCGGTCTACGAGCTAGCTCACCTTGTAACCAGAAGGTCCAGGGTTCGAACCCTGGCGGTGGGTGCATACCGCTGAAGGGTCCCAAACTAGGATGTAGGAAACAGCTGTCCAGTACTCTCAGGTTTTCGAATGGTTCTCTAACTGATATCAGCTCATGATGAAATCCTCCTACCGAATGACCAATCAATATTAATTTCATTTAGCCACACATGTCTCAGTGACTATCTTCTTGGCATGCCAGTGATGTAGATAGTTTGAGCTGGTGGGTCGTAAATGCAGGCTGTAACCCAATTTGTGAGTTTCGGATGGCCAGTAAAGTTAGCTACAAAGAGAGGAGCATCTTGCGAGTGTGTCAACAAAGAACTGACTGACGTTAAGTTTTAGGACTTTATCCTGATACTCAGTTTTGTTTTATACATTTTTTTACAGCGTCTCATTTTAGCGTGTTGATAGGTAGTACTGTCTGTCTGCACATCTGTGCGGCAGTTCAAGTCGCCACACACCCTCGTTGTACCACACAAACCAAGAGAAGAAATTAGAAGAAATGCATAATAGTGACAGTAAACAAAGGTGTGAGTAATAACGAAGAACAAAACAGTTTCATTGGAAATCATAAGTCACAAGGAGTGAATGCATCTGCATCATTGAGAACGATTTTGAGCCATATCACCAATTGTCTCCATCCTTCATTGGTTTTTACCGTCCCGAGGACCCCAACCAGTCAGGAAGTCTACACCTTCCTACGTGGCTTAAACTAGCTGTTGTGGATTTCATTGACTGGTGCCATGTTTTGGTTTGGCCGCCACTAGCTCTTTTCCAGCCTGACCCTATATCCGCTAACATTGCCCATTGTCGAGGAAGGCGATGACTAGGCATACGTAACACATGTCCTAACCATCTCAATCGATGTAATTTCACAGCCTCGTCGATTGATTTCCCCTCCTTACCTAGAACTCGACAACTCACTTCAACATTGCTCACCTTATTATACCACTTCGCACGGGAGATAGAACGCAGGCACCTGTGATCAAAGACAGCTAATCTTTTCATGTCTTCTACTCTCAATGGCCAGGTCTCACAGCCATAAAGGAGTACGGAGCTGACTGATGAGCAGTACACCCGCCCTTTGGTCGATAGTCGGATATCTCGTCTACGCCAGAGACGGCGTAAACTGGCAAGTGCTAAACTAGCCCTCTGTATCCGTGCTGACATTTCTTCAGAGATCAACCCGTTGGCGCTGGCTGATGGTACTTCCCAAATAAGTGAAGCGGTCAACGTGCTCTACCACTTCACTCCCTATTTCTAATCTAGGAGTCGGTGTAGTCCAGTCTAGTCCTGTATCATCATCTTGCATTCGGCGGGAGCGAATCGCATGCCAAACATTCGAAGATTGCAGCTCAAGGTGTTTATAAGACTCTGCATTTTGTCAGCGTCCTCGCCTAGAAGGACTATATCGTCTGCATATTCTAAGTCAACGATATTATTCCCTGATGGTAGCAAGTCACTCCCTGAGTCACTGAAGTCAGTTAGTGTTAAGTCCATAAGTACATTTATGATGAAGTTGAATGAAAAAGGGGATAATGGGCATCCTTGACGGACACCACTAGTCGTCATCAGTTCAGATGACAACTCGCCGTAAGCCCTCACCTGGATGTATGAGTACGAGTACAGTGCCTTAATCAGTGCAATGTATTTTCTCGGCATTCCCTTAACAGCCAAGCATCTCCAGAGAACCTCTTGGTCGACAGAGTCGAATGCCGCCTTTAGATCAAGGAATATAATGATTGTTGGGCGCCGGTAGGAATGCCTATGTTCCAGAATTTGTAGGTAGTACTAATTGATGACCAGGTGGGAAACCGATCACCTTGTTTAGGACTACGGTGTTCTGGGTAAATTTCAGCTCAGACCTAAACCAGCTGTAACCACTCAAAATGTGGCTAGTTGCTTTGGAAAAATGGCAATACATAGAATCAGATTCGTAATATGCAATCTACCGATTTGAACTGAGTCCTTCTAAGTAAGCTACTGGTAAACTTTCTGGTATGTAGAGCAGGATGCGTTACCCTAATTTGGTTTTTAAACATTTTTAAATTTCTACGTCATGTTTCACAGTGATCTGATTGTTACTTTTATAGCGTAAAAGATGTAAGATATTAACACAAACATTTAGAATAAAACCATATATTAGGCAGGGAAATATTATTATTCCTTTAGGTTCCGAGTGCGACATAGGGCTTAAACAACACATCTCCACTTCGCTTTGTTCTCTGCAGTCTCTTTTTAGCCGGCTCCGTGATTACCCACAAGGCGTCATCTCCTTTCACAATCTTCTTGAAGTCACCATCTGATTCATACTGAGACTGTCATTTCCCGTCCGGATTCCAATTTGGGTCCTGGCACGTTATGTCGCTTAACGGTCTCCTCAGCGTATATCCGACCCACCTCTATTTTCTTCGAGGTATTTGTTCGACAGTAGGCTTTTGGTTTGTTCATTGCCAGAGTTCCTT